TTCTATTAGAGGTTTTACGGTATTCTGAAAAGATGACACTCACCCGATAGACGTTATTATTTGACAAATATTTATTCAAAAGTAACAGTAAAAAATCGAAATGGAAAACAGCCATACAAAAAAGAACATTTATCCGCCTCCAGATACGGGTGTTGGTACGCTTTTTAAGCTAATAGAACTTCTCTGCAAACTTCAATAGAAGACGGTGTATCACACTGTTCTCTAGTTGAAGGCGCAGTGGAATTTCATCCTCTAGATCAACCAATCGCTCGAGAAGTTTATTTCTCAACTGGAATCCTTCGTCACTATCCAAATCGCTCTTTAGAATGCAGTTCTTGACGTCAACGAGATCCTGAAATATGAAGTTATTGAAAAAAAATAGGCACACAATAACATGTTCATCCTACCATTTCAAAGCTGGTTTGGTTGAACTTGAACGTCCACGACTTCTTCCACCAGTCTATGTCTGCTCCGTTTGCCAATACGAAGCGATTGGCAATTTGTTCTTGGAATATGTATTTTCGGGACAGTCGCTCTGCCGGGGGCATCTGAGAAATTCCGTTTTTGTTTGAAATGATTTTTTCTTGCTGTTTCAATCAGTGACTTTTTTTTGACTTCCTGACACCAAGTTTTTCTTTTCAGAAATTCTTTTTATTTTTGGAATTTTATGGGTTTTGAAGAGCATAATCATTTTGAAAGCTTCTGGAGCAAATATGTATTCGTTTTTCAATTCGATGGATATTTTCCCAAAAAGAAAAACAACTAGCCTCCACGAGTTGGACGGTTACCACCGGATCCTTCAGATTCGTTTCTACGACGACGATATGAGTGATCTGAAAGAAACATGGCGCCATTTCTCGTTTGCCTCTATTTTTTGATTTTTTTTCTAAACTCTCTGAAAGTCTCAAAAAGTTCCACAATATTTTTTTCATTTTTTCATTTAGATTTTCATCCGTAAAACCTCTAATAGAACGACACCCGGATCGTCCACTTTGAGCCTATATATCTCATTTTCTGTCAAAGATATCAAAAAGTGGCTAACTAGTAAAATGTTGCTGATATCCTATAAACATTTTCATAGTTAACCACTTTTTGATATCTTTCAAAAGAAGTGAGATATATAGTGTGTGTGTGTGTGTGTGTGTGTGTGTGTGT